TAATAACAAAAATGAAAGATGAAAAGAAAATTAAATAATTAAATAAATAGAATTAAGAATTTAAAGAAGGAATTTCTTGGATATGCATGTTGTGAGTAGATTACTATTATAAGTGTAGATTAATTGTAGAGGTTTTTGCTTAATAATTTGGGTATTTAAAATGATTGAAGAGTTAATTGATTAAGGTTTAATTAATAATTGTAACTTCTAAAATTCCACATAATCAATTTATTTGTTGTAAATTAGAATAAACTTCTAATTAATAGAGGTTTATTTTAGTTCATAATTATCAAGATTATTGGATAATTCTTTTGCTATTGGCAAGGTTTTCTTATAATAATACAATATATTTATCTATTCAATAAATACACTTTTTTATTAATTATGATTATCATCTACAACTTGATGCTTTTGACTTTGCAAAAGTTGATAATCCTATCACAAAAGATTTGACAAATCATTTATCTGAGCTATATATAACAATGAAGGTGCAATTAAAAGAAGCTTAAGAATTTTCAAAAAATTAACATAAATGTTTATTGTAAGCAACAACATCAATTCTACTTTAGCAATAAAACATGATTACTTTGTTGTAATATCAAAACTACTTGCCATTGTAATAAATTAGATCACTATAAAATTAAAAAAAAATTAATTTGTAAACAAATTAATCTAATTGCTTATTAATTATATCTAGTAGAATCTATAAAGATCCATCTCATTGTATGTATATATATTTTTTGAACAATGCAAAACAATTCATATATTTAGAAGAAGATAAATACTATGTTTTTTTTTTTTTGTAGAATTAGATATTAAGTAAGAATTATAAATTGAAGAAATCTTAGACTCAAGGCTATATCAAAATATATAAGAATAACTTGTACATTAGTGCAGATATGATATTAGTAAATACATATAAAAATTAGCTACGAATTTTACAAATACAAAATAGAAGGTTGATGCATTTAATTATTGACATCTATCATAAACAAGATAAAGAATTAAATAATTCATTATATTATATAAAGGACATAAATGTCAAAGAACTAAAAGATTAATAAATTCTTATGTCAATCAAAAAGATTAGATAATCAGTCAAAGGTAGTATAATATTAAATTAGAATGGCTATTGCCAAAGATAAAAAGACTAAAAAGTCTTGAAATAAGATTAAAGATTAGAAATTTGTTAACAAGAGTGAAGAAGGCTTCATCTTTACATACATATATACTATCTAACTAAGAGCTATGTGGTGACATTCTATAAGACCTCCAATACTTGTCTAATTTGCAAGACATGTGTTTTAACTTATAAGACAAGTTTCCTATATGTGTGCCACATTTTTAGCTTAAACCTCAAACTACCTACACATGCAATATATGGCTAATTTGTTGGCCAAGTTTCTAATCTACCAATTAACTATAAACATGTATAAAATCAAATACTTGTCTATGAACTTTGCTACAAGATAATATCAAATCTACATATATTTACTTTCTATTTAATACTTCTTATTTAGATAAATATGTATGTCCATGACACTATGAATGAAATAAAATTTAGTAAAGTTAGCATTCTATCTTCTATTTTTATTTGTGATTTCTTTGTATTTGTAGTACTAAATAGATGAAGAATCAATAACCAATGGATTTAATTCAAGGACTATTATTTGTTGAGTTATCACATGAGACATTAAGATTTTTACAACTTTTAAGATGACATCTTAGAAATGAAGTTCTTTAAAAAAAAACATATTTTTTCTTGAATTTATGGTGAGATATAATGTACTTGATATCACAACTTTAGAAGAAACTTCTAATATTTGGTTATATTATTGAAAGTAAAAATTACCTTTGATGGTGTTTCAAATGTTTTATTTTAAAAAAGTTATGAAGGCCTCAACAATGATTAAATATTAAGGTGGCCTTTATGCCTTGATTTGAGCTAGAAGGATCTATCAACTACCTTCAAAGGAAACAAAGATTAAAATATGTAATAATTATAATTTGTCGCATCTTTGACTTTTTTAATATGTGATCATTGCTCTTTGTGGAACTTATTCCTAGAATAGGAGGTAATGTCATGGACATACATATTTACTTAGTTTTAAAGAAACAAATAGAAATAAATATAAGTAAGTAAATTTTATAATATCTTGTGAAAAAACTTCTTAGAAGCTTTATAGATTCAAATTTTATTTTTTATGTATTAATAGATAATTAATATATTAAAAATTTAATCAATAAGTTGGCCATGTTTCTCAAATATTAGTAACTTGTGGTACAAATTGGCTATATGGCACACATACAAGAAACTTATTTTATAAGTTAGACACATGTCTTGCAAGTTGGACATGTGTCAAAGATCCTATAGAATGTTGCCACATAGCTCCTACTTAGATAATATATATAAAGGCAAGAGTGAGGCCTTCTTCATTCTTATCAACATTTTTTTTTTTTTTTTTTTTTTTTTTTTTTTTTTTTGGTTTTACTCTTATTTCAAGAATATTTAATCATCTTGTCTTTAGAAATAATCATTTTAGTCTTAATATTATACCATCTTTGAGTAAATATCTATTCTTTTAGAATGTATTTATGATTTGATTGTTTGTGATTTATATCATTGATAAAGTTTGTATATTTATTATTGTGTGTTTGCATAAAAGTAAAATTTTAATATAGATTTTATATTTATTTTTCAAAAATATGTATAAATAATTTTTTATTTTTATTATTTAAAATCAAGGCTTTTATATTTTTATTATATAAATTTATTTTCTGGCCAAACAAGATCTTATTATTTATTTATTTATTTATTTATTTTTTTTTTACAATAGAATATAATATGAGTCACATTTGAACTTTGAAGAAGTAAAATATTACATATAATATAGTAATTTTAATGGTATCTTTAAATATAAATAATAATGGTTAAAGTGTTTTGTAAATAATTTAAAAAATACTAATTATTAAATATTTTAGTTGGTGTGTAATGGCTCAAAAAATAAAAATAGGTCAAATTTATGTCATTATTGTAAATTATACATATTATAATTTGAATAGATATGAGAAAATATAGATATTAGATATAAGTATAAATACTATATTATTGTATTAAAAAATAAAATCAATTTTAACAATACATATTATACTTATATTAATTTAAAAATAATTCAAAATTTTTTAATTGATAAAATTAATATAAAATATAAAATAATTTATTTTTGGAAAATAATAAAAGTTATACAAAAGTTTTAAGTTGAAAAATATAAAATTGTTTAGCAACAAATAAAGTAAGATGGTATACTTTGGTTAATAGAATCCTATAACAAACATGTATCTTGATATTAAAAATTCTCAATTTTGTTGAAACTAAACTTATTTATGCCATATACGATTTGGAGCACAAATTGCATAACATTTAATAAATAAATCTTTAGTGTTATGTACAAATTCTTAAACTATCTTAAAATTAAGAAGTTGTAATAGTTGATATAGTGTAGAAAATTTTTAAATATGAAAATTTGTACATTGGTTTTTAATATTACATAATAACTATGATAAATTTTTGGTAATAAAAACTATGTGTGCTATTCTACAAACATAATATTTTAAAAATAATAAAAAAATATAACAGACATGTTTTATGCTTTAACAAGTAAAAATATTAAAAGAATCTCTTGTAAGCATGTTATTTTGGTGCTTGGTAATGACCAAGTTTTACAAATTAATATAGAATTATTGTAGTCAATGCTAGAAGAGTTGTATTATTATTTAAGTTCATAGGTTTTAGCAAATTAGATGAGAAGACATGTAATTGCAATGACATACATATATTTTTCTTAAAATGAGTTGATTGATATTTTGTAAGATGTTATCAAAAGTTGGTATATATATATATTTTGTGTAATTTTTATCTTATAAATGATTTTTGTGATGCGACTAAGTTAATTCTTAAATAATTTATTTTATATAATATTAAAGAAAAAATATTGATTATAAAGCAAATTAATATCTTGTATTTTATATTCCAAATTACCTTTATTTTAAATAAATGTGATATATCTTTTGCATTGAGATATAAATAAATTTTATTATATGCCATACAAGTAAAAATAATCAATTTAATATTCAAAAAAATATTAAAATATTTTAGTTGAAATTTAATATAATTTATCTTTTTTTATAAAAAATTATATATTATATTACTGCATAAAATATATATTTAAAATTTTAAAATTTAAGATGCTCAAAGAAAGATGCACAGTATAAGTTATTAAAATTGATGAAAAATGTTGTATATAAAAGATTCTAAAAGTAAGTATACCTATTATTGTTGTTACAAGATGATTAAAAGTCCAAGTCTTTGTTTTAAAGTGGATGTTGGGATATTGATTTCAATTTTTTTTAATTATTTGACTATATATATATATCTATATATATATATATTATAATTAATAACACATTATATTTTTATAATTAAACCTAAGATTTGAATTCTTTTATTACTTTTTGAATTAAATTAATTAAGTATAAGAATTATTTACTTTAAAATAATATTTTTGATAATATTAAAGATCAAAATATTCTAAAAGTTATAATAGATCATAATCCACATGAAAATTTTGTGCACACCAAATAATATTAATGACCCCTAAACCATCTTCTTAGTTTGCATGGGCTATAAAAATAAATCTCTACAAGCATTCAAATAAATTGTAATGAAATCGAAACATGGAACATTTAGATTATTCATTAAATTAAGCTTTCTATCTAGTTCAAAATTGTTAAAGCTCATAGTATACGCAAAAGCAAACACATTCCCCCCCCCATTTCTCCTCAATGGAGTGGATGAAAGGGTAAGTGGACAGAGCCACGAAAACGACAACACATATTTTGGATGAATGTGCAAGTTCGTCGGACAATTCCAAATGGAATTGTCGCCGCTAGAAGCTAGAATCCAGAATTGGGAGAAGTGCGCCAACGACTACGACTAAGACGACGGGGAGACAAGGCGAGGAGGAGCGCCGTGTGCTGTGAAGGAAGGAAGGAAGGAAGGAAGGAAGGAAGGAAGAGGAGGGAAATCGAAGAAGGGGGATGATGAGATTGCAGGGGGATGAAGAAGACAAGGCAGGCTCCAGATTGAATTGAAGGCGCCATATGGGTTCCGTTGCGTACTCTCATCAAGCCCTCGCCATCGCCAATCTGACCATGGCCGACTCGCTAACTGCCTCGCGCTGGGCTGACCTCGATCGCCTCCTGCTTCGTCCTGGCAACCTCGTCGGCCCTGGCTTTGAGCCTGGCCCTGAGGTAAACCCCATTCCCTCCCTCCCTCACTTGCCTGTCACATTTCAGCTCGCGGTGCCCCTACCTGTGCCGCAATTGCGCACTTGTTTATTTGAGCGAAGCTGAAGTGATTAGGTCGTTTGAATTGCGTCTTTTCCCTCCTTGCTTGGTTTTGATTCAATTTCAGTCGATCGTTGCCGGGTTGGTCTTGATTTCTAACTTTTGGATGTGGAGGTGCAGTGATTGTTTTGTGTTTTGTGATTTGAGCTTTGTTTTTTTTTTTTTGTTTTTTGTTTTTTGTTTTTACATTCATAATACCAGTGCTGTTGTTTCACAAATCCTTTAAATTAGGTTTTAGATATTGGTGGCCTTTTCTCCAGTTACTGTAATTTAGGGTTGAGTGTTTGTTTCTGGACGTTCGGTGCACTCTCTATGCAGCGATTTGTATTTTTTTCATTGTAGTGTTTTATCAGGAGCATGAGAGTAAGGTGTAGTTTCAACTACAGCCTCCGCTAGGTGGTAATTGTTGTTTAAACCCTTGGTTTACTATTTACTCTCAGTTTTTATCGAACGCCCTTCAGAATATTGTGCAAACCAGTAGAGTACTATTGCATTGATGACTAACCGCTGGAAGTAGCTGACCTTGAGTAAGGCATACCATTCTTTGGTTTCTGGTTTTTAAAGGCATATATACTTTTCGTGAGCTGAAAACGTTAATTGTTAACAAAAATGTACCAATATTAACTAAGTAATTAATCTGTCTGGATGATGATGTGTACTTGTTTGTTGTCGGGCTGGTGATGATTTGGAGACATTACTTAGTTGGAAGTGGGTTTGATGGGTTGCAGCTGCTTGATTCGTTGCAAAATGATTTGCGAGTGCTGGTGATTGGAGCAGGAGGACTCGGATGTGAGCTTCTTAAAGATCTGGCTCTGTCAGGGTTTGGCCATATCGATGTCATTGATATGGACACCATTGACGTGTCCAACCTCAATCGACAATTCCTTTTCAGGTTTGTACCCTCATCATGTGGACTGAAAATTCTAGGTGTTGACTTGAGCATTTTAGGATCAGTTGCAACTTCAATTTGAAAGCGTATTTGGTTGTGTAATTATTTATGTTGTTTATCTGATGATTTCACTATTTCCCTTCAAAAGGGTTTAGAGTTTGAGTGTTATTGGCGACGCACTCCACAGTTAGCTTCTGTTGGTGTCATCACCATTTTAACTATGGACGCTTGCATCAACTTAAACTCTATTATTTCTTATGCAGAATGCAAGATGTTGGGAAGCCCAAGGCTGAGGTGGCTGCACAAAGAGTGATGCAAAGAGTGAAGGGTGTCACAGTTGTCCCTCACTTTTGCAGAATAGAGGAAAAAGATGTCTCATTCTATCAAGACTTTCAAATCATTGTCTTGGGCTTAGATTCCCTGGAAGCACGCAGCTACATCAACTCTGTAGTCTGTGGATTCTTAGGTCAGGCTTTCTTCCTTAACATCCTGTTTATGCATTGTTATTTTCCTCAATAGTTTTGCGTTTCACCAAGTTCTGTCGCTGTATATCTGCTTAGTGTTGCTGCTTATGTCATTAGCTCTTTTCGGGTTGGCTGTCTCGCTTTGTTTAATCCCCAATCCCAACCCCCAGTTGTTTGTTTCGAAGAACATTTCTACGGAGTTCTTACAACTTCCTGCTTTTTCACATTTGATGTAGAAACTTGATCCAAAAACTACGATTATGTATCTATGTTGTTTCTTGTAATACTGATCCATTTATTTGTGTTATTTTGCCTCTGGGAATGTGTAGAGTATGAAGAAGATGGCTCACCAAACCTGGCCACACTTAAGCCTCTGGTGGATGGTGGTACAGAAGGGTTCAAAGGCCATGCTCGAGTTATTTTCCCAGGAATCACACCTTGTTTTCACTGTTCACTTTGGCTGTTTCCCCCTCAAGTCACGTTTCCATTGTGCACTCTAGCTGAGACTCCTCGGTCACCAGCTCATTGCATTGAGTATGCTCACCTTATTCAATGGGGTCAGGTGGGTTAGTTGAGAGCAGAGTGTACTGTCATGGTTTTTTAGTATTCATTTGTTCCTTTGGAAATGAATATTTTAGTGCGATCATAGATAGAACACGGATTTTTTTCTTGCACCGAAGAAAATGTCAATATACACGATCTGCATACCGCACTTCGAGATTTTCGAGGTGACTCTTCTGGTATTTGCAGGAACGCCAAGGAGAATCTTTTGATGCAGATAATCCTGAGCATATGAAGTGGATATATGATCAGGTAAAATCTCCTTATTTTTGATACATCTATTTATGCTCGTTTGATGGAGGCTATCGTTGGTTCATAATTCACTGTGTAGATGTTGCAGAAATTTGTCAATAGTGCAGAATCTTTACATCATGTTATTTTTGTATTGAGCCGTGTAATTCTAAATTAAAATCAAGTACCTTAACTAATCAGTATTTTTAACGCTTTATACCTTGTTTTTATTTGCTCAAAGGCTACATTTGGCTGTTCACTATTGACACTCGGAGGGATCGGGTGTGTGGCTGCAGGCTGTGAAACGGGGTGAGCAATACAATATCTCTGGAATCACTTACTCCTTAACTCAGGTATGCAGTGTACCGTCTCATGAGATATATTTCCATTATCTGCCTAGTTTGAATTAGTATATTATCTTGGTGTTAGCATGCTTATTACTTGTGAATGGCTTTTATCAGGGTGTTGTCAAGAATATTGTACCAGCGATTGCTTCAACAAACGCCATTGTAGCGGCCACTTGTGCTTTGGAAACCCTAAAGATAGCTACCATGTGCAGCACAGGCATGGACGTGTACATGCAGTAAGTGTTTACTTCCGATGTATTGGTTTCATCATTTTAATAATTTTCCCCACGCTTATGTCTTGCTGAGCAAGTTTTGCTGATGTCGGACATATTTGCTTCTCTTATTGATACCGTGAATATGTACTTTTGTTTTTTAGAAGGGCTTTTTCATGCAATCATTTCGCAGTTTGCCCTGGCATTTGAATTAGAATAAGTTTCCAGAACGTTTCTGGAATTCCTTCAGCAACAGAGGGCTCATAGGTGCTCATTTAATTGCTTTAATCGCTGCAGATACACAGGTACAGAAGGAATTTACATGCGTACTGTGCCTCACGACAAAGATCCTAACTGCATTATGTGTAGCCCAGGAGTCCCTGTGGAGGTTGACAATACTATCACACTGCAAAAGGTATCGTGGTTTTTTTCCGAAATTTATACTTATTCATGCTTGTTGGTGCTCTTGCATCATCTTGGTCCCGTTTCGTTCTGAACGCCCCTCTCAACTCTGTCTTTTCTTTTCTTGCAGTTCTTAGATCAACTATTGAAGGATTCTAGATTCAAACTGAAGTTGTCGAAACCAAGCGTGTCGTATCATGACCATAACCTCTACATGCAAGCGCCTCCTGTTTTGGAGGAAATGACTCGACCAAACTTGCAGCAGTCTCTTCTTGATCTTATGGACGGCAACACAGTAGGGGTGCTAAATATAAATGATCGAAGATTGACTGGAGTTTTGCGAGTGCGCGTCACATTTAAGGAGGGTCTTGATTCCATAGACATGGACACAGTTGGAGGAGGCTGATGCACCCTCAAGTAACGTGGGATTCATTAGTGAAATCTTCTGCTCTCATATGGCTTTTTTGTATAGTAGCATGGACTATTGCATCTGAAAGAGCATTTTTGTTAGACAGACTGTTGAGCAGAAGCAAGATGTCTCTTATCATTACCCAATACGAATCACATATATTGATGAAAAGAACCACGAATCTCCAGGAAAATTTCTTTAAGGCCAGATGTGTCCCACCCAGACCAGTATGCATCAGGGGTTGTAGATTATCTGCTAGGGTGTTAGTAAGGCGGACACGTTGATCGTCTGGTGCTGAAGTATTAGCTGGGTTTTCTGCAGGGAATTGGAATCGACTGTCCGGTGATGCTTCTGATAGATTATGCATGGGTTCTTGATATTTTCATTTCTTCACATGAAGTTCCAGAAATTGTTCAGTTTCTCTGGCCTTGATGATGCACTCGGTTCGAAGTTTTTCCTCCTAAATTCTTGATCTAGACAGCTGATATTTAGAGTTAATCCAAGCAGAACCCAGGAGTGGATCATCTTTTCAACATCTCATTTAAGGATTAGTCACGTAGAGGTCAGGTGGCTTGCTTTTTAAGTCGAGAGTGCATTGGAAGCCCCACAATTTGTATTTGTTCATGACTATTAAACCTCTCTTTTACGGAACATATTACTGTATGTTCTTATAATCCTTAATAAGAATGCCTGAATTTCTACTTTGATTGGTACATTTTGCTTTGGTTCTGTAACCTGAATGATTTGGTTATCATTATTGTTCTTGTGACGATTCTCTGAGCTGCCTCATCACTGGCGACAAATTCACTGGTTCTGTATCATGTGACTGAAGACTCGCAGGTCTCGCTACTCATGAGACATATAAGGTAAAGATATCCAAAACTTGGCTGCGCAGTATTAGATATTAGGTTTAGAAGTTCTGCTATGGTGGAGTCGAGAGGATCCATAATCTAATTCATACTTCAGTCCAAGTAAGATTATTTGACTATTTTGGCATAACACTCGCATCATGTTCTTAGGAAGCCATATCGGTCTCTGTTCACCAAATAAGTCGGCATGTCTCCAGCATGTCAATTCAAAGAACGGTTGTTAGTCTGTATCTGAATACATCTCAAAATTACACGTAATTGCGAATTATCAGTTAAGGCAACTTGCTTGCCTGATTTTAAATCATAAAAGGTGGCATTATGAAATAAATCTTTTACTGGTATTGATGATGTGGGGATCCGTGGTGGAATCTGTCGAAGCGCGCTCGTGCAATCCGCACACGAAGTTCCTGACACGAGTATTCCTAGCTTGGCCTTCGTCCCGATTGGACAGCACCCTCCACCATCTAGTTTGCTCGTCACTGCATGTGCTTCAGTGTTTCGTTTCGGCGGATTATTTTGTTTACATGCCTGACTTTTGAGGTGTGGGGAGGTCTTGGACCCTTAGATATGCCAAGCTTGGATTTCGATGTTAGCTTTTGACCCTGTGATGTGTACATTTGAATTTTGGATGACCAGTTTGATAAGTGGAATCTGTATATCTTGCACAATTTCCAGAGGACATTGACCTTAACGGTTATTCGAAATTCTTCAGCACGTCAGGTGATTAAGAAAGTTTCACCACACAGGGATGTGGAGATGTCAGGTCGGATATCCTGTACTCGTCCTCTCCACGGACTCCCTCCTGTCTCTATTTTGAGTGTGGATTTGCTGGACAACGGATGATCCTGATCCACGTCTTGCTTATTGCGAATTTGTGAGCGGAACTGCACAATCTCAATGTCGACCGATGGGCTTCCTTATTGCACCAGACCTGGGGGTGGACATATAAGCCAAGGTGGTCACGCGTACACATTCGACTACCCAACAGCAGTCTGCGATGGGAGTAACCATTCTGTGAGTTTCATATCTCTATGACAATTGCTCTGAGTGTTTTCGGCATCATTTTCAAAGGTGTCTTCTGCTATGATTATGTAGCGTCTCTGTGCTGCTACAATGGTTACACTACATCAGAATCTGCCGGCAGAGGATTGTCAAGAATTCAAATCGCTTTCTTTTTACCATCAAAACTTTGTAACCGCCCTTGGGAAGGCTAAGGTTCTACATCTGCATGCAGACATTGTTGGGATTCAAAGAGGATTGTAGTGCTTGTATAATCAATTGCAGTCATCATATTGTTATTACCTCAGAAGTTTGCAGAGCCTTTGCAGTTTTTTTTTTTTTTTTTTACTTTGAATAAGTTATATTAATATTTTAACCTTTCTCCTCAGTGATCATAGAAGTCAGCCTCAATCCTCTTGTCACCCTCACAGTTACCCCATCAGTCTTTCCAAACTCATCTTGTGCAGTTTTATGTCCATCACCTGCAATTGCTATTAGTTATGTAAACTGTAGACACAGTAAATATATTACCAGTGAAAAGCAACGTTGTTCAGTATGAAAGCAGTTCATGTGAATTGTGGTATTTTCTGGGGGATTTCATCTAATATTTTAGTTGATTGGATAATTTATTTTTTGAACCAGTAAATGGGTTATATATGTATGTTGTTTTTTTAGCAAATTCTTCATTGTATAGATTAGAGCATAAAAAACTTACAAAGTTACAACTTCAAATAGCTCCCAAAGAGACTAAATAATGGTTTCTGGAATAGCAAGGATAAGATTTCATGATCTCTCTTTCTTGCCCATTGTTTTTTTTTTTTTTTTTTTTTTTTTTGAATTTGTTTGTACCTTTCACAATGTCTACAGTAAAAAAAAATAAAAATAAAAATAAAAAACATTTCTCCAAGTTTTACAATTTGTTGAGAGAAAAAACGGTTCAATAGAAAGTCATACCAAAATTTAAAATTTTAAAAAGATACACTGAAACCATGTTTAAATAAAAACATAAAAAGAACTCTGAGTACAGAAATAAAAAAAGAAGAAAAATTAGTAAAATTGATTCTAAAGTATCCAGCTACAGTAGAATAAACAGATGGTTTTACCTTGCAGTTCAATTTAAAAAAGAATACTAAAATTATTTTCATCTATCATTTTTATATCCAAGTAATATACATGTAAAAATAACAATGTTGATCCCACATAAAAGAACACAAATTGGATGCCCTTAAGGTTATTGTATCAAATTGTTATTAATAATATTACATCTATTGACCATGATGTTTTTGTAATTGAAGAAGAAAGCTCTTAAATAATAGTCTCTTATTCCTAAACTAAAGAAGAAAATAGTTTGTAACAAAGGAAGTTATAATGTGGTAAATAAATGTAAAAGATCAAGTTTTAAGTTATAAAAGTTAAAAGGATTCTTCATGAAAATTATTGAAAAGATTTTGTGATATAATGGTAAGAAAAATCCTTTACTTAATAAAATGTCAATGTTTTAGTTAGACATCTATTATTGTTAGAATCAAGAAAAATGGTAAAATGTAGGTCTTGGTGTCAAAACTTTAGATTTAAGATTCTTGTATTATTCTTTGTTATCATCTTTGTTTTATTCTTTGTACCTTATCTTATGTAGCAAGTATCTATTTGTTTATTTCATAAATAATTATTATAGATGATTAAAATTTATAAAACTTATCTTTGGAAATTTAAAGTAATATTTTATGCTAGCATATAATATTTGTACAAGATAAAAGTTAAGAACATTGTATTAAGACAATTTTCAATCAGCAGATTGATTAAAAAAAATTTCTAAAGATATTTATGATGGATTTTTTATTAGTTTTTTTAATAAAAATTCATAAATCAAGTCTTGTAAATAGATTGTGGTATGTTTTAGGATTTTTTTATAAAATAATGTATAAAATTTTCTTTAATTAGAAAATAATGAGATTTATTTTTTGAAAAATAAATTATTTTAAAATAATTAAATAAATAAAAATTCATAACCATACTAAAATTTTAATTTTTAAATACGTCATAATATTATAGATGGTTTAGTTAGTCATATTAAATAAATTCAACTTACATTAGATAATTTTTATTTAGCTATAATGCTACTAATTTAAAAAAATATGGATTCATATATATATATATATATAATAATAATAATAATAATAATAAAAGATGATAGTATTTGTATTGTTATGTACATCTATCTAATGGAAAAAAAATCCATTTAGAATTTTAGACATTTATGTTTTAAATAAGACAAAAATTCATAATAATTGAAGAAATGACAATTAATATTGAAAATTTCCAATTCAAAGACTTATTTGAAATTTACAAGTATCTCTTCAAAGGATGACAACTATTTATGTGTTAAGACATAGAGATTGCTGTTACAAGTCTCTATTATTAAGAATTATCTAAATGAAAAAGATAAATCTCCAACACATGAGGTCCTTTCAAGTAATAGATTTATTCTAAGCATAGGAGGTAAAATCTTTATACATATGGTGATATATGAAAAAAAATAGAAAGTCTACAAAACAAAGATCAATATAAATATACTAATGTAATATTGTAGGATCTAAAAATTGTTATTAAATAGTACTTGCTAATGGGTAGTAATTGCCATTGAACACTTAAGTTCACTAAGGCTTGATCTTGAAAATTTCTAAACTCATGTAGAGTAAATTGCCACTATACACTTATGGCCATTAAAGCTCTATGTTTGTATGATTATATTTTTATATCTTCATTTTATTTTTGTTGATTGCTAGGAATATAGATATAATCTAAAATTTATTTAGATTTTATCTTTTTGGTTTAAGTTCAAACATATGTATATACAATTTATACATATATATAATATTTAAGAATAAAAATTATATACTTTTAGTGCTTATATAAATAAGAATATTATGTGTTTCTATCATTTAAGAATCAATTATAATGTATTGAGAACTACTTATAAAATCATAACTATATTCAAATGAATATTTATAAATTAGAAATTAAATTAAATAAGCTTAATTTTAAATTAATGCTATATATGGTACAGTAAGAATCATATGAAAAATTATGATATCATAGCAATATTTTATAAAAATATTTAGTTATTATATCTAAAATACCTAAGGACTCATTTTAACTTTATCAAATAATTCTTATTAATCTAACTTCATCGACCAAAGTTTAAAAGTTAAGTTAGATGGAATTCAACAATAAAAGTTGGTCTTATTGAACTAGTATACTAAATTGCAAGGTATATAATTTTTTTTAAAACTTTATTTTTGTTTATATATATATATATATATATATATATATATATACTTTATATATTTATTATTTTTATTAAGTTTTTAAAAATAATGTTAAAGAACATAATTAATTCATTTGTGTATTTATTGTATATATAATACTATTTTAAAAAAAAAATTGTAATATGAAATAAGTATTCATATATTTATTGAATATAATAAGTCATTATAGAAATTTGTATAGCTTGATTGAATCACTATTAAAAGCAATTACAATAAGATATTAAAAATGTATATCTGAAATTTTTAATAATAATTTTATATTTTATGTTTAAAATAATAATAATAAATTAAAAAACCACACCAATATATTATCAATTATTATCTATTTTATCTACTGAAAAAAGTAAAAAAATAGAATTTTGAAAGAGCTATTTTGATTATTTAAAAAATAAAATAAACTAAAGTAATTTCATAAAAAGAATTCTTATATATAAAAATTTCTCTAAAATAATAGCCGAAAGAATGCTGTTGTTTTTTTGCTATAGGTGTTTAGAAGATAAAGCTTTT